TGCTCCCGCCTGTCCAGTGGGCACGCATTGCCGCGCCCTTCCAGCATAGCGTTTGCGCTGCATTCGCGCGGCGCCGTGCCTCTCAAATCGGAATAAACTTTCGGGGCGCCGATGTATGGCCCCCCATTGAGCGGGGGCTTCTGCTTGAGATCGGTGAGACTCTGCCTGCAAGTGGGCGGCGTTCGGGCTCTGAGGGCCCCGCCGAGGCCATGCAGTCATCTGAGGCACCCAGGCGCCTGGGTCTCCATGTTAAACATCTCCTGCAACAGTCCAATCGTGCCCACCATGATTGGGGCGCTCAGGTAGCTGCGCACCTCGCGCGTGATTCCAGCGTTGTTCTCAGGCCACCCTTCGTTTACAGATAGGTAGACTGGCCGTAAAACAAAGCCGCCTGAGACTCCCTAACCAACGTGGGCTGGCAGAGCTCGGCCTCTGGCAAGGGACTCGGCCCTTGAGAAATTAGCCCGGCAAATGACCCAACCATATGCAATTGTGAACGCCGCAGTTGTAGGTCTCGTCTTCGGTAGAGCTCCCTATGGGGCCACGAACCGCTGTGCTGGCTGTGGGGGGCGCATGCGGGCTGCGCCACTGGGGCCTTCGGTGGGGCTCTCTGTGCGACCGCGAAGCGCTGCGCTGGGTGTTGGAGACGCATGCGGGCTGCGCCACTGGGGCCTTAGGTGGAGCTCCTTATGGGGTCACGAAGCGCTGTGCGCGGTGGGGGAGACGCATGCGGGCTGCGCCCTTGGGGCCGTCGGTGGAGCTCCTTATAGGGTCATGAAGCGCTGTGCTGGGTGAGGGAGACGCATGCGGGCTGCGACATTGGGATCTTTGGTGGAGCTCCCGATGGGGCGCCACGAAACGCTGTGCTGGGTGAGGGGGGCGCGTGCGGGCTGCGCCCCTGGGACCGTAGGTTGAGCTCCCTACGGGGCCACGAGACGCTATGCTCGGTGGTGGTGGTGTGTGGTGGTGGTTGGTGGTGGTGTTGGTGGTGGTGTGTTGTGTGTGTGTGTGTGTGTGTGTGTGTGTGTGTGTGTGGTGTGTGTGTGGGTGGGTGGGTGGGTGGGTGGGTGGGTGGGTGGGGGTGGGGTGGGTGGGGTGGGGGGGGCGCATGCGGGCTGCGCCGCTGGGGCCTATGATGGAGTTCCCTATGGGGCCACGAAACGCTGTGCTGGGTGGTGGTGGTGGTGGTGGTGGTGGTGGTGGTGGTGGTGGTGGTGGTGGGGGGAGGGCGCGCGCGGGCTGCGCCTCTGGGGCCATCGGTGCAGCGCCCGCCCTATGGGGCAACGGAACGCTCTACTGTGTGTGGGAAAGGCATGCGGGCTGCGCCCCTAGGCCCTTAGGTGGAGCTCCCTATGGGGCCACGAACCGCCGCGCTGGCTGTGGGGGGCGCATGCGGGCTGCGCCGCAGGGGCCTTAGTTGGAGCTCCCCCATGGGGCCACGAAGCGCTGCGCTGGGCGTGGGGGGCGCATGCGGTCTGCGCCACTGGGACCTTCGGCGGACCTCCCTATGGGGCCACGAAGCGCTTTACTGGGTGTGGGAGACGCATGCGGGCTGCGCCGCTGGGGCCTTCGGTGGGGCTCCCGATGGGACCGCGAAGCGTGATGGCGATGCTGATGCTGATGCTGCCGCTGCTGCTGCCGATGACGATGATGAAAGGAGGGGCGGGGTGAGGAGGAGAGGAGAGGAGAGGCGGGGAGAGGAGGAGGATCGCGGGGCGCTGTCTCTTCAAAACAACAGACCCAACAACGCAACATGGTTGGGGCAAATAAGCTTCAATGGCCGGCACGTTCTCTTAACCCAAGCCGCCAGCCCTGCCTGAGTGCCGCTCCTAGGCAGTGGCCCAAACTCCCCGCCGACCCATGTCGCGTGCCTGGTGCTGGGCAGCGACGACTGCGTGGCTGCGCCCGCCGAGAAATTCAAGCATCTGCTGCTCCTCTGAACAGCTGCTGGTGGTGATCGCGCCCGTCGATGCTGTGCTCTGGTCACTGGTCGCACTGGCCTGCTCGGCGCGCTGGGCCGAAGTCGCCCCGCTCGAGGCCGCCTTGCGCCCGTTGACGCGCCGACCAGGAAGCTTGGGCGGGGCGCGGGCAACGCCCGCCCGCGCGTCCGCGGCCAAACCCTCCCGTCCGCCACCGCCAGGAGGGGCCGCGGTCGCTCCGCCGCCCGAGGCTGCATCCCGCCCGTCGGCGGCTCGAGCAGGAGGCCGGTCGGGGGACTGGGCGCTGGCCGCCCGCGCGTCCGCGGCCAGCGAGCCCGGGCCGCTACCGCGACCCAGGAGGCCCCGTGGCCTGCACCTCCCGTGCCCCGCGCCGCAGGACTGGAGCTGCTGCAGCCCGCGGTCGCCAATCTGGACATGATCCCTCGCCGCTGCAGCCATCTGCGACGTCTGGGCCGCCGGCCCCGCGCGCGCGGCCGCCGCCTGCCTGTCGGCGGCGCGTTCTGCCAGGGTGGCGCGGGGCAGGTCCTCGGCCGCCCGTCTCGCCGTTCGCGGCGGCCCCTGGCCGCCGCCGCGCCGCGCCCAGTGCCGCCCCGCTGGGCGCGGCGGCTCCCTCCGCGCCTCGACCGCCGCGGGCAGTGGCTCGCCCAGCGCTCGCGGCTGCGCTCCGTCCGTCGAAGGCGCGAGCCAGGGATGCGAGCCGCGGGCCAAGGGAAGCGGCCGCCCAGGGGTCCGCGGCCTGGCCCCCGCGGCCTCTTGTCGCGGCCTCTGGCCGAGGCGAGCGGCCTCGCCGTCCCGCCGGACTGGGGAGAACATCAGAGCCTGTCTGCGATTGCGTCGGGGTAGCTTTCTAAAACAAGGGGTTCGCCTGAGTTCATCCAGCTGTCGTACCTGCACTCGGTGCTCTCGACGCTGTGGTAGCGTTGGCCAAGCCCACCAGGATCGCACACAACAGATACCCACTTAGGCTGGACACTGGCGCGCTTCTCCTGTTTCCATCCTTCCACGCAAACTGCCAACTTCCTGACGCTACTTCTGACTGTGGCCTAGTCGGCCTCGTCGTCGATCTTGAGGCCTGCTTTGCCCGAGAACGTGTTGAGCTCGTCCAAGTCGGACTCGTCAGCATTCGGAATGGGCACGTCGATGCTTCCTAGGTCCTCACCTGCTTTACCGCCTCCGCCGAGCGGTGTTTCTGCTGGTGCATGCGCATGCTGTGCTGCTGCAGCCTGACTTGCAGCAACCTCGGCTTTTATCTTCTCGGCTGCCTTCTTTGGCTCCTCGCGCGCCGCGACCTCCGCCTATGCTCTCCCCAGCTTGGCGCCGAGGGTGCCGTCGTCGCCAAGCCCCTTGAGAATGCTGCCCACTTAGCCGACCGTGAAGCCAGGGAGCGCGACGCCCTCCAACGACTCTGCACTCTGCCCGAAGACAGGGGCCCTGGGTACTGCAGCCGCCCACTTTGTTTGCTCTTCCGCGGCGGCCGCGATCAAGTGTTCAGCTTCCCTCGTGAGGAGCCCTTGTTCGGTGATCGTGTCCTGTGCTTTTCTCAAGTCCTTCTGCCTCTGGGATAACAGCTTTTCCGGCTTGACCTTCTTCTGATGAGCCCGTGCGACTGAGCTGCCAGGGGACGGAGCTGCGCTGGCAACGGCTTCGACGACTCGAGCTACACACGCAAATTCTTCTTTCCAGCTTCCAAGCTCTCTGTGGCCGCGAGAAAGCACGACTCATTGCGATCTTTGATTGCCCGCAGAGGCTGATCGACCTCCTCCAACCTTACTTTGATCTATGTGGTGGATGCGTGCGGCGGTAGCTTATCCGATTCGACCACCATGCGCCCTCCACTTCCGCTTCCTCCCGCGTCGGCGAATTGCTTTTGCGTGAGCTCCACATGCTTCTCCAACTCAGCCATCTTACCCATCTGCTACGGCGGAACCTTGGCACCTCCACTAAACGAGTTCTTATCATACTCCACCTACTTGCGCCCCGTGGGCGTTTGAATGTGGCAGCCTTGGCGACCCCGCACTTCTGACAACTGACCTTGTCGGCCCTATTCCACCAGGTCGCTCCTGAGACTGGATGAACGCACCACTTGCAACACCACTCCACTGCAGCCGCCCGGCGCTGCTGGGCGTGTCGACTGGCCTTATTACTGGCATTGCTTGTCTTCAGAAACTGGGCGCGCAAACGAGAGGAATTGGAGAGGCTCGCCCTCAGAAGCGCGCGGCTCGAGTAATGCGGCCTGAAAAACTGATAGCTGGCCGCGGACTAGCGATATCACATTTCTCCACACAGGAACCATGAGATTGAGCCAAAATAGCTGCGGACGAGGCGGAGGAGGAGTGAGTGAAGCGGAAGAGGGGGATGAGGAGGAGCACCAGGAAGAGGAGGATGACGTGAGCAGACGACCACTGCTTTGGCATCGGTCCACGGGCCATGCTGTAGTGACCCATCAGTCCGAGGGCCATGATGTGCCAGTCGACGTGTTTGTCTGGGCACCTGGTCGCCGCATCGCCCAAATTGCGTGTTCGCAATCTCAGTCGTGCACACCGCACGGTCGCCAACTTGGATGCACGCAGCGGCATGTTGCAGATGTGGGCGACGACAAGCGCAAATAATCACCCTCCTTGGCCCCCAATCTTAGCGATATGGGACTTGAGCTGGCTGGGCGGACGAATCGCGAGAGAAAGGGGTCAATGTGAACCAAACAATAAGCTTATCCCAACCCCTTCCGCCCTCCTCCTTCCTCCTCACTTCCACCCAACTGTCTCTTCCTTATCCTCCCCTCCTCCTCCTTCCTCTCTTGATAATTTTCCTCCTCCTACGCCTCATCTTTCCTCCCTCCCCGCCTCCCTCCTTTGCTCCATGCCCACTCCCTCTTTCCTACCTCCTGGCTGCGTAAAGACTCTGCCAACAAACGCTCTGTAAGAAATGCCCCTCTGTGCTGTCCATTAATCCCGCGCTCTCATGAGCCTTTTCCCATTATTGGAGGGGACGTCCTCCTAGCAATGCTGACCCAATCGTTGCAAGTAGCAAGCAAGGTGTGGAATGGCACGACCAAGTACCTAAATGGTAACGTATCATGCCGCGTATGCCGAAAATTTGAACCGGAGAGGACATCACTCACTCGAGTGGGCATCACCCTCCTGTATAAGAAGCGATCATGCTGCTGCTGGGCAGCTGTTGGATGCCACGAGCCTGCACAACGGAAGGACTATCATTCTCCGCGTGCTGTATATCCGCCGCCGTGCCTTGTGCACGTTGAGGCGTGGAAGAATGCCAGGGGAGGAGGAGGAGGAGGAGGCGGAGGAGGAGGAGGAAGAGGAGGAGGAGCAGGAGAAGCAAGAGGAGGAGGAGGAGGAGGAGGACTGCCTGGTGGGGTCTCTGTCTTTTCACGAGGGCCCACCCGCTCCGCGCGTCTGCTTGCATGCAACGCCCCCCCCCTCCCGAAGCCGTGGCCCTTCGTGACAAGCAACCGATGCTCCCTTTCTTTCGGACGCCTCTGATCACTCACCATGACAGGCCAATGATACTACAGTCGGGCCGCTGAAAGAAGGAACGCTAAATAAGGAACGAAACCCCTTCTTGGCCCTGTAAGCGCCTCCGTGCCCAAGGAGGGCAAAAGGAACAGCACTGGAGGAACCTAGAGAACATCAAGCCCCTTCCGAACCCAAACTGTTCCTTGTTTCAGCGCCTGTACTGTGGAGACAATGATGCGATACAAATGCAAGTGCAACTCACACTCGAAGCTAACTCTTGTGAAGAAGTTCGGGACGCTTGGCATACCATTGTTTGGAAACTAGTCAGGACAAATACTGGATTGTGTCATTGAGCGCCAATAGATCCGGGCTCCCGAGGCTACGATCACTTTTTGGTGTTCTATATATATATATGTATTACAAAAAACCGATGGATCCACGTCCAGAGCTTCCCAAACAGCCCATACAGGCAACCAACAACACTACGATGGCCCAAGATGCCTCGAAGACGGCCCAAGCTTGACTAGTATGGCCTCCAGATGGTCCAAGATGCCCCCAAGAGGGCCCTAAAGGGCCACATGAGGACCTCCAACATGGTCCGCAGAAACCAACATCATTGATATTATGCAACTTTTCCCCACATCCAAAGTGGGGTTCTTGTTTTCTCTGCACACGCCGCGCAGGATCTCACACCCCCCTTTCCTCTCTCTCTCTCACACACTCACCATCATCACCATCATCATCACCATCAACCACCATCATCGTCATCACACGCGCACACTCATCATCATTACCATCATCATCGCCATCAACCACCATCACCGTCATCACTACTCATCATCCTCATCCTCATCATCATCATCGTCACCATCATCACCACTCTATCACCCACTCACTCACTCAATCACTCACTCATCCCCAGTAGGCTTCGGAGGCAGTGGTCTTCCGACGGTAGGACCGCCGCCTCTCTCAACATCATCGTCACCATCACCTTCATCATCTCTCGATCACCCACTCAATGGTCATCATCATCATCATCATCATCACTCACTCATCACTCATTCATCATCAGCACTCACTGACTCATCACGTCGTCATCAATCACTCCCTAGATTGAATATGGAGGAAGTATCAGGCGGGAGCCTCGTCTGTGAGTGAATTGCGAGGAAGTCTCAGGCGGGAACCCCCTCCCTATGGGGCCCGCACTTCATGTTGGTAATCCGAGCGGGTCATCCGAAACGTGTAACTGTCGTCACTTTTGGGCTCCTGAGGCCTGAATATGGAGGAAAAATGAGGCGGGAACCTCGTCTGTGAGTGAATTGCGAGGAAGTCTTGGGCGGGAGCCCCATCCCTATGGGGCCCGCACTTCATGTTGGTAATCCGAGCGGGTCATCCGAAACGTGTAACTGTCGTCACTTTGGGGCTCCTAAGGCCTGAATATGGGGGAACTATGAGGCGGGAGCCTCGTCTGTGAGTGAATTGCGAGGAAGTCTCAGGCGGGAGCCCCCTCCCTATGGGGCCCGCACCTCATGTTGGTAATCCGAGCGGGTCATCCGAAACGTGTAACTGTCGTCACTTTTGGGCTCTTGAGGCCTGAATATGGAGGAAATATCAGGCGGGAGCCTCGTCTGTGAGTGAATTGCGAGGAAGTCTCTGGCGGGAGCCCCCTCCCTATGGGGCCCGCTGGCGAGGTGGATCAACACGCGCGCCCGTCGAGACGCGCGGCGCCTCGGCGTCCCCCTCGTTTTCCTGCAGGCCGTAGACGAATGCGGCACGATTCAAGGCGACCCAGACGCAGGCTGGCGCCTCCTGAACGTTCCGAACATGCACAAGACCGGGGACATCCACGGCGTCTTACCGGCACACGTCGGCATGGAGGTCCGGTTCACGGCCGTGCAGGAGGAGCTGAAGAAGAAGTTGGGGCTCGTGCAGGAGCAACGGGCCACCATCGTGTCCCTCGAGTTTCACGCAGACGACGAGCGGGACTACGAGAAGTGCGCGCCGGGCCAGCTCTTCCGCCCCCGCTACCTACCGCAGAGAATCTGGCTGCAGGTGCACGGCTTCCAGGAGTCCCCGATCTACAAGGAGGTCGCCGAAGTGCTGCAGCAGCGCGCCGATGGCGCTGGCGACGACGGCGAGGCCGAGGCGCGGGCGAGGAGCTTGCTCATGTTCAGGCCCAGCGAGCAGGAGCTCACGTGGCAGAGCTCGGGGGCGCGCACTGTGCGCCGCTCGGGGTTCACCCTGACGCATGCGTCCTACCTGACCTTCACGCTGTCGCAGGGCCAGACGCTGCGCAAGGGCGTCACCATCGACTGCGCCAGGGATGAGGACGCTGGCCGCACGGGCATGTCGGACGAGATGTGGTGGCTGCACCTCTACGTCATGTTCCCCCGCGCCACGTGCATGCGGAACATGCTGATCCTGCGGCCGCCCGCGCGAGAGTTCCTGGAACGCGGGCCGCCGGCGTCCCTGCGGAAGGCGCTACAGGAGTTTGACAAGAGAGCGGTGGACTCCAGGGCTGAGGCGGAGCAGCTCGCGGCAGAGCTGGGCTTCGTGCTGCCACCCGCCTGAGCGCCGCGGCGCGCACCTGGAGGCCCGCGGGGTTGTCCCAACGGCTGGCTCCCGCGCCCCTGCGGCCTGCGAGGTTGTCCCAACGGCCTGGCCCGAAGGGTTGTCCCGACGGCTTCGCGATCTAGCCGTCGGCAAACGCGCGCGTGCTGGCCGACGCGGCGACGGCGCCGAGGAAAATCGAGTTGCTTGCCACGACCAGGGGGAACGGGAGGTGCACATGGAGAAGAGGCAGGAGGATGAGGAGGGAAGGGGCATGGGGGAGGGCGACGACGAGGAGGAGGTGGCGCGAGGAGGAGGAGGAGGAGGAGGAGGAGGAGGAGGAGGAGGAGGAGGAGGAGGAGGAGGAGGAGCAGGAGAAGGAGGAGCAGGAGGAGGAGGAGGAAGAGAATAGAAGGAGGAAAAGAGGGCAGTGCAGAGGGCGAGAGGAGAGGGTGTCCGCCAGGGGGAGGAGGAAAGGGCAAAGGGTAAGCTAAACATATTCTCATGTGGGGTCCTACCGTCGGAGTAATTATATGAATGTCGTGTTCTCACCCTTTCGTTCTTCCGTCAACTCAAGACGGACCACGATGCCTCCACGATGGCTCCACGATAGGCCAAGAGGCCCCGAAGAGGGTCCCAAAATGGTCCAAGAAGTCCCACGATTACACTGGAGGCGAGTAAAACGGCCCTGAAACGGCCTCCCGTGAGACCCCACACGGTCTTAGAAGGCCCTTCGACGGCCCAATGCGGTCCCACGACGGCCAAACAGATCCCCACGACGGCGTAAGCGGGCCCTACGACGGCCCAAGCCCAGAAGCACCTAACACGCCTCAAGAGGCCCCCAGACTGCCAAGAGACTCCCAAGACGCCCCAAGAGGACTGCAAGAAGCTCTCGAAAGAAACCCGAAGAGACTCCGAGAGGCATCCAAGAGGCCTTTGGCCATTCTGCTCGCCCTCCTCCTTCTCCTTCTCCTCCTCCTCCTCTTCCTCATCCGCCTGATTCTCCTCCTTCCTCCTCCCTCCTGCTCCTCCTCCGATTCCTCTTCCGTCCTCCCCCCTCTTGGGGTACGACGTCTTACCCAGCCCTTTATTCCACTGAATTTCCCTACACAACTCTGATCAGGGCAACTCATCTGGGCATCGTTTCTTAACGGGCTGGTGGGGTTACGCGAAGCGTCTATAATAGTGAAGACGAAAGGAACCACATGTGACGGCCTTCCTCTTCCTCCTCCTCCTCCTTCGCCTGCTCCTCCTCCTCCTCCTCGTCGTCATCATCACCAACACCACCATCATCCTCATCCTGATCCTCATCCTCGTCTTCTTCTTCTTCTTCCTCCTCCTCCTCCTCATCATCATCAACATCATACTCAGCAACATCATCGTCACCATATTCCTCCTCCTCCTGCTCCTCCGCCTCCTCCTCATCATTCCTGTACTCATCAGCAGAATCATAAGCATCATCGTCACCATCATCCTCATCTTCATCCTCATCACGACTCTCCCACCCTCGAACAATCGCCACCCAGAATGCTGGGCTGGCACGGTGGCGGGACTAGCCGCAAGCAACTGGATACTCCTCGCATCCTAGTGGGGACGAATGATGGGTGATGCTGCAGGAGGAGTCAGGCAGAGAGCGTGCGCAGAGATCTGGACAAGCGTACACTTTGAGCCACTGACGTGAAAAGGCAGGAGATCTGCAGGAGGGGGAGGGGATGGTCGGAGAGGCCTTCAACTATAACAAAATTAGCAACACCCAAGTGAGCCTGCGCAGGTGCGCACGCTGGCTATGCTGGAAGAGTGCCTGTAAGCAGTCCAATCGCGACTACCTGGAATACAAACAAAACCGCTCAATTCGGCGCAAGGGCCAGTGCTTGCGCCCGCGCGCGAGCGAAAAGGTCGACACCCATGGCTTCGAATGCCCGTGGCGTGTCGATGATGAGCCATCCCTCCACGATGCGGCCCTGCTTGTCAAAACGAGCATGCGCCCCGCAACGAATCGGCACTAGCTTCCCGCTCGCCGGCTCGCCGAACCACTCCCCAGTGTGGTTCCCCCACAAGTAGAAGTGGGCGCCGCAATACACGCCCTCGCAAAGCTCCAGGTCCATCTGCAGCCGGATTCCGGAGAACGCGTCGTGCAAAGGCCGCAGCCAGTGCTGCACGTACTGCTCGCGGGTCTTTGCCGTTCCGACCCCAGCGGGCCCGTACCAAGTCAACTGCTCTGCCCACCACCGCGCGTCTCCAGTGCCGAGCAAGTAATCCTCTTGGAGTGCTTGCTTCCAAGCGGCCAGGGACCGGACGGTGTCGTCCGGATCAACAGCGGCGCTCATCGGCGCTGGGAAGCCATCCATGGCGTTCGGTGCCTTGTACCCCTCCGTCGGCATGGGGGCTGGTGGCAGGACGTGGTAGCCCACCTGGTCGAACATGTCGACGACGTCGATGATGCACCAATTGATTTTGATGCGCCTCCCCTCCAAGAGGTAAAAATCAAGGTCCCGTATCCGCACCCACGGGGCGCCCGGCGGAGGCGGCACGCCGGCGAACTCCCCGGCCCACCTCGCCAGCCCGTAGCTGGCTGAGGTACAGGTGTCGTTGGTGGCCGCCCGGATGAAGTCCATCCACTGGGAGTCGGGCAGGGCCGCGTTGAAGTGCATGTGCTCGCCCTCGTACCACCCGTGGAGCGTCTTCGTGGCCCCGAAGCCCCAGCTCCCCACGTAGTTGAAGTCGTAGACCATGTCCTCTGTCCAATACGGGGCCATCTCCGCCGACCAGCCTGGCCAGTCGTTCCAGGCGGTGTGGAGATTGATATTCGTGTCCATGCCGACCACAACCTGCTTCGCGAGCGGGCTGCCTGGGCCACCCACCGTATCCTGATGCTGCTTGGAATAGTCGACCATCTCGACCGGCGCCGTAGGGCGGGCAGCCAGAGCACGGCCTGCCAGAACCGTCGCCGCGGCTCCAGCCAGCCCAGCGGCGACAGCAACGCGCGCCGTGCGGCCCCACGCGCCTTGGGGGGGCGCTATCAACGTGTAGCCCTCCATCTGCCAAGCCCGAGCTCCGGAGGCGGCGACGGTGTGCGCTGCCGTGCGCCTGGCGCGCTGCGGAGAGCGTCTGGTGTGCGGCTCGAGCAGATGTACCTACAGAAGGACAAAGGTTCCCCGCAACAGACGACACACGCGTCTCGTACGCGTGCGGTCGACGACTGCTTGTTCGTGTGCACCCAGACATGTCTCCCTCCTGAGGCACCTTCACACCAGTCCGGTTCGGGGAACGGTTCGGGCCTCGAGGCGCGATTGGGAGCCTGAGATCACCGTCTCGGGACTCTGTTCGAAGTCTGGCTGCCAGAGCTATCCGCCTCCCAGGAACACTGCAGCAATCACAACATCTTCCCAGTAGTGTTGACTATTCCCACTTACGCAGAATGCGGTAAAGGGGGTGGGGCTTGAGGGCGAGCCAGCAGAGAAGTACCAACCAATGCAACATTTCTTCGCGAAGTGGAGCATCTTCGACTGGCCTCGTGTACCAACGACTCAGACTGCCAGTGCACAATCGTGGTGAAGCTTGCTGGTTAAACAAAGAAAGGGAATGTTTGCCTGCGTAGACCCCAAGATGTGAGATGTTGCACTGTGGATGTTTGAGATATGTAGTGTAATATACAAGGTGTGATCTATGCGGTGTCAGCTGTGAGGTGTAAGCTATGTGGCACAACATGTGGGTGCAATCTATGTGGTGTAAGCTATGCGGTGCAGGCTATGTGGTGCAATCGAGTTGGTCTGAGCTATGTGGTGCAAGCTATGTGGTGCATTGTAGGTGGTGCAATTCATGTGGAGGCTATGTGGTGGAGGCTATGTCGTGCATTCTGAATGGTGCAATCAATGCAGCGCGACCTACGTGGTGTGAGCTATGTGGTGTGGCCCAATCTGTGTGGTGTGAGCTACGACATGCGCGCTACGCGGCGTAAGCAATGTGGCTTTACTCTGTCTGGCATGAGCCACGGGGTGTACACAGTGTGGTGCACTTTATGTGGTGCGAGAGATGTAGTGTACGCACGGTGCGCCAACGAGGCGGCCACGAGCGGCAACCCGACAACACTTCAGCGGACCCACCCGCGCACGGGGCGGCCACGAGGCGGCAGCGTGGCGAAACCTCGCTGGACCGACTCAGCGCGCGCGGCGGCCACGGGGCGGCCACGAGGCGGCAGCGTGGCGACATCCTGCCAGACCCACCCAACTTTACGAAGCGACCACGAGGCGACAACGCGGAAAATCTGGAGTGAAGAGTGACGTAAGCAAGAAACCCTAAATTTGCAAGCAAGGTTCGGGGAACGAAAAAAGCAGCGATCTTCAATCCCCCTCTGGAGCACCCCAAGAGGGCCCCCAGTCGAACCCGAGAGGCCTCCAAGACTGCTTCCGACGGCGTCAGACGGGCCAGGAATGCCCTGAGACGGCCAAACAGGCCCCTGAGAAGCCCCCAAAGGCCCCCAAGAGGCCCAAGGAGGCCCCCAAGATGCTTCCAAGAGGCTTCCAGGAATCTCTCTCAGGAGGCCCAAAGAGTGCCCCCAGAAGCTCCCAAGATGCATCCTCCTCCTCCTCCTCATCCTCCTCCTGCTTCTGCTCCTCCTCCTCCTCCTCCTCCGCCTCCTCCTCATCCTCCTCCTCCTTCTGCCTCCTCCTCCTCCTCCCGATCTTCCCCGCCATTCTCCCGAAGTGTTCTCGAAGGATTTCCACAACGGTTGGGGGAACACGTGGTCCGATAGCTTGGCAGAGCTCTTGCCACAATGCTCGGACACATGGGCGATTTCAAACCTCTTGCTACCCCACGCGTTCCCCGAAGGCTTTCCAAACTGACTCGGGGAACAATTGGCCCGATAGCTTGGCCAAGCTCTAGCCTAGCTGTCGGCTACATAGCCGCTTCCACAAAGGCATTGGGGCGGCGGTGATTCGCCATAGGCATCTTCGATCCGCCGCCGCCTGTTGGTTTGCCACAGGGGTGCCCAGCGTACTGGACCCTAGACGGTTTGGTTTTGGTTCTTTTTCCAAAAGAATTCTCCCCTGGGCTTCGGCCCGTTCCGCCGGCCACCCAGAAGGCCGCACAAGGGACCCCATTTTTCGGAACCATTTTCCCAAGGCGGCTCGCGATGGCTGTCAAGATCGCCAAGCTGGCCCAAGACGGCCTCCAAGATGCTTCCAAGACGGCCAAGATGGCCTCCAAGACGGCTAAGATGACCCCCACATGCTTGCAAGACGGCCCAAGAGGCCTCCAAGAGGACCTCCAGGATGGACCGAAGATACCAACATCATTGACTTGCCTGAGGTTTGTGAAGGATTTTGGCATTTGCTTCTTTTCGGCCTTCCGACGGCCCGAGACGGTCCAAGAGCCCCCACAGATCGCCCCAAGATTGCCCAAGAGGCCTCCAAGATGGCCCCAGAACGGCTCAAGAGGCCCCCAAGACCGCCCAAAAGGCCTCCAAGACGCCAAAGATGGCCTCCAAGAAGGCCCTGGAGCACCCCAAGAGGGCCCCCAGTCGGCCCAAAGAGGCCCCCAAGACAGCTTCCGACGGCGTCAGTCGGACCAGGAGCCCACCAAGGCGGCCCAAGATGGCTTTAAGATGGCCCAAGACTGTCCAAGAGGTTCCCAAGGGGCCTCCAAGACGGTCCAAGAGGCGTCCAAGAAGGCCTCCAGGAAGGCCCGACAATGCCAACATCATTGATTCGCCTGAGGTTTTTGAAGGATTCTGGCATTGGCTTCTTTTCGGCCTTCCCACGGCACAAGACGGCCCAAGAGCCCCCCAAGACGGCCCCAAGAGGGGCCCCCAGGCGGCCCAAGAGGCCTCCAAGACGCCCAAGATGGCCTTCAAGACGGCCCTGGAGCACCCCAAGCGGGCTTCAAGTCGGCCCAGAGAAGCCCCCAAGACAGCTTCCAACGGTGTTAGACGGGCCAGAACTGCCCTGAGACGGCCAAAGAGGCCCCTGAGAAGCCCCCGAAGGCCTCCAAGAGGCCGGAGGCTCCCAGGAAGCTCCCAGGAGGCCCAAAGAGTGCCCCCAGAAGCTCCCAAGATGCATCCTCTCCTCCTCCTCCTCCGCCTCCTGCTCTTCCCCGCCATTCTCCCCCAAGTGTTCCCGACGGATTTCCACAACGGTTTGGGGAACACATGGTCCGACAGCTTGGCAGAGCTCTTGCCACAACGCTCGGATACATGGGCGATTTCAAACCATTGCCCCCCCACGCGTTCCCAGACGGCTTTCCAAACTGACTCGGGGAACAACTGACCCGATAGCTTGGCCAAGCTCTAGCCCAGCTGTCGTCCACACAGGCGCTTCCACAAGTGCAGGGGGCGGCGGCGATTCGCCGTAGGCGTCTTCGATACTTCCAATGCGGTCCAACAGCGCCTGATAACTTCTCGAAAAGGGCTCCAAGACACGATTTTCGGTCTCCGACGAAGCATCGCTAATCAGGTCCCCCCGCTGTATTGATCGATGGCGTCCTGGATCGGCCCCACGGCCTCCGACATGGCGTCGAGAGAGCCTCAACATGCACCCCATGAGCTTCGAAACAAGTCCATATTGTGCCAGAAGAACGCGGACTTCGATCTGACGGCTACCCCCGTCCTTGTTAAAATGTTTGATCTTGCGCTTCCCTGATCACGGCACATGCGTTTCTGGATGGCCTGGTGTGGATATTCGAAGCGCTGGGCATTTCTGGAGTCTCGGTGGGAAGTCCGCCGACCCTGTCGGCGTGTCACAGGGGCTGTTCCGTCGCCATCGCCCGCCGCCATCACGTCCCCTCCTCCCCCTGAATCCGTCGCCGCTCCACCCCTTTCCTTGGGCCTTCGTCCTCAAGCACGCCAGCCACGGTCAAATACACCAGCACACCCACAGCGAAATGACGCAACGTTGCCACTGAGTCGAAGGGAAGCCCCTTCCCTTTTGATCCCTCTCCCGCGGACGTGGGGGGGAGAGGGCTCCAAGGGGGGCCCTGGGAGGTGGGCCCCGGGGGGTGGGCCTGGGTTAGAGAGCCACCCTCCCAGGGCCCATGGCCCGCCCTCTCCCTCCGGTTTCCGTCGAAGGCCGGGGCCTCGAGGGTCGGCGGCGCCGCCGCAACAATCACAGGGCATCTTTTGAACGTGTTCGGTTCCAGAAGAACAAGCAAAACAACAGGAATATGACTATCATGGCGATGATGATGATGATGATGATGATGATGATGATGATGATGATGATGATGATGATGATGATGATGATGATGATGAGGATGATGATGATGCTGATGAGGATGAGGATGAGGATGATGATGATGATGATGATGATGATGATGATGATGATGATGATGATGATGCTGATGCTGATGATGATGATGATGACGCTAAGGTGCGAGCTCTCGCAACCAGAATGTCGCACGGCGTCCCGTGGCGCACTACCCCCCCTCCTCTTCGCCCTTCTTCCCTCCCTCCCCCCATTGTCTCTCCCCCTCCTCCCCCACCTCTTCCCCTCCTCTCCCCCTTCCTCCTTCTGTCTCCCCTCCTCCCCCACCTCCCCTCCTCCCTCCCTTTCCTCTTCTGTCTCCCCTCCTCCTCCTCCTCTCCTCCTCCTCCTCCTCCTCCGCCTCCTCCTCCGCCTCCTCCTCCTCGTCCTCCTCCTCCGCCTCCTCCTCCTCCTCCTCCTCCGCCTCCTCCTCCTCCTCCTCCTCCTCCTCCTCCTCGTCCTCCTCTTCCTCCTGCCTCCTCTTCCACCTCCCTCCTCCCTTCCGCTTTTTCCTCGTCGTGCGCGCCCTCCCGGCCCTGGGCCGCCTCGGCCAACGGAAACGGTGGCGGCGCAGCTCCGGCTAGACCTGTGCCAGCGCGGGCGGGCGCAAGCGCTGCTGTTCAACTCGTGGATGAGCCCGCAAGTGCGGGCGAAGACGGGCTGCAAATTCCGGTTTAAACAGCCAGGGCCTCCAGAATCAACTCCGCAAGGCTCTGGGCGGGGCGACGCAGGCTCCATCCCTGCGAGCCGATGCCCGACCTCTGCGAGCCGAGCCGAGCTGCTGTCTTCCAATTCTTGGATGAGCTCGTCAGTGGCGGAGGGCTCATCGAAAGTGGCGTTCACCAGACCGCGCTGTTTCGTGCACGACAGCTTGTAGCACTCAACGCATGCGCACGCGCGCCCCCAATTCAGCCATGGCCTCTGGTATTGGGGAGCGCCGTAGAGCGAAGGGTTACGAAATCATGTAAGTGTGAGCTTGGGCGGTTGGGAGAAATCGCGCTCCGCACCGGGAAAAATTCGGACCCAAATCGCACAGTACTATCTCTTGATCCACGTCGGGCAAGGCCACATCCGGTCCAGGCGTTCTTTTTAGCATATCCAATGCAGGCCACGCGCGCGCACTACCCCGATCAGGAAACATCAGTTGAGACAATTCGGTTTGCGCGTGCGCGCACGTTGAACGGGCGCCACCCTGTAGCAAGCTCCGCCGCCGAACCGAATGTTTCCAAACCGCCTCTCGTTCACCGCGTTGGATATGGCCAGTGCGAGTAACAAGGTGTTCTTCGGAGGGCTGGGCGGTAGTGGGCGCTCGTGGACGCTCCTGGGCCGCCCGCGTAGATGTTTCAGTGACCTGGGGGGCGTGGCTGTGATGTCATACTTCAAACTTGGCCAAAGATGGCCGCGAGGCCGTTCCTGGAACCCTCTTGGGCGCATCGTGGATTGATTGTAAAAAACACGAGGGGTCTGGCCCCCAATGCTGCCATCCTCGAGCAAGAAGAGATGTGGCTGATGTTTTTGATGCACTACGCACGTCGGCCTGGTGATCGCCCAGGACGGCCCAAGGCATCCCCAATATCGCCCCAAAGAAGGCCACGAGGCCCCTGAGAGAACCCAGGAAACCCGCAAGAAAGCCCCCCAAAAGGGGGTCCAAAAACGCCGTTCGGGTCACTCGCGCCCGTCGGCCGCGCGCGCATGTCGAAATCCTTCCAAAACCTTTATCACCGACGCGTGTGGGCCATTATCGCCATCGGCGTGATCAGCATCGGCGCCGTCATTGGCCTTGCTGTCGTCATCGTCGCCGCCAATATCGCTACAATCATCATGTCTGCCGTTGTCGGCGTCGCCAGGATACCGCGCCCGCCTGAACCACCGACTCGCACCGAAGCGCCCGCGCGTCAGCGCGGCCTGCGAAACTCGCTGGGAATTGCCCAGCGGTCAGCGCCACCGTTGCCGCGTCGGTCGCGTCAGACTAGCTGGCCGCTCTGCGCGCGAGCCCGCGGGCGTGCCTGCGCGCGCTTGCGCGGCCGCCGTGATGCGCCAGCTAGTACCGAGCAGTCATCGCAATCGCCGCCGCGCGGGTTTTGCAGTACATAAGCTGTCCCACAAAGATCGCACGACACTATTGCACAACATAGGTTGCACAATGCAGATTGCATCATATTCATAATGTGTAATTGTTTAGGAGACGGGGCTCGAGAGATGGGGAGGGAGCGAACAGACAGGAGGGGGATACGGTATAGTGGACACAAGCAAAAGAACTGGCGAGCAGGATGATAAGGGCGGGTGCGACAGATCAAGATGAACGGTCGTATAAATAAAGGGTCAGAGTGACGCCGAGGTTGGGCACCGGTGTAAGATGAATAGAAGGAGGGACGTGAGGAAGGGAGGTATGAGTATAATGGAGCCGAAGAAAGATACAAACATTGATGGCGGCGAAGAACCGTGGTAATCGTGACAAGCCCAGAAAATTGCACAAGAGGCCGACGTGGTGGTGGTGCCTGCAGGGGCGCTCGCTGTAGCAGCACTGCCGACGCCCAGCGCCAGCGTCGCGCAAGCGCCCAATGTGCTGGACGGCTGATCGCCGCTCCACTGAGAAGAACCACCTGCGGGCACCAACTGGGCTTACGATGGTGCCATCGCCGCCGGCTCGCACACACGGGGTGGGGTGGAGCGTCCCCACATATCAGGAGAGACAAAAATACCACTACCACCAACTATGGGGGTGGCCGCTCCCTCCCCTCGAGCTCGTGGCACCTCCTTCCGGGAACTCTCTGGAGGCATGTCCGGAACGAGGTGCCACCAGCTCGAGAGGGTGGGACAGTCACCCCCCTAGCTGGCCCCAGTATCGCCCAAGAGGCCTCCAAGATGGCCCCGTGACGGCCCAAAAGGCCCCCAAGACGGCCCCAAGAGGGCCTCAAAACGGCCCAAGAGGCCTCCAAGACGCCCAAGATGACCTCTAAGAACTCCTGATATGCCCCAAGAGGACCCCAAGACGACCCAGACAGGCCCCCAAGACGACTTCCGACGGCCTCAGACAAGCCAGGAACGCCCTACGACGGCCAAAGAAGCCCCCAAAAAGCCCCCAAAGGCCCCCCCAAACCCTCCAAGAGGCTCCAGGAAGCTCACAGGAGGCCCCAAGAGTGCCCCAAGAGGCGCCCAAGAGGCCTCCTCCTCCTCCTCCTCCTCTTTTTTCCTCATCCTCCCCCTCCTCTTCTTGCTCCCCCACGCGTTCCCTGAAGTCTTTCCAAACCGACTCGGGGAACAACTGGCCCGATAGCTTGGCCAAGCTCTGGCCCAACTGTCGGCCACAGAGGCGCTTCCAAAGGCGCAGGGGGCGGCGGTGATTCGCCGTAGGCGTCTTCGATCCGCCGCCCCCTGTTGGCTTGCCACAGGGGTGCCGGGCGTGCTAGATCCTTTCGGTTTTGGTTTTGGTTCTTTTTCCAAAAGAACTCCCCCTGGGGCTTCGGCCCGTCCCGCCGGCCACCCGAAAGGGATCTCAATCCCCCGAAAAATCCTCCAACACGGCTCAAGATGGCCTCCAAGATGGCCACGTTGGCCCAAGATGGCCTCCAAGATGGTCCAAGATGGCCTCCCAGTCCGCCCAAGATGGTCCAACACGGGCCCCAAGACGGCCCAAGAGAGTCCAAGATACCTCCAAGTTCGCCCAAGAGTCCTCCAAGACGGCCCATCACGACCCAAGAGGCCTCCAAGAGGTCCTCCAGGAGGACCCGAAGAGGCCCAAATCATTGATATTCCGTAGGTTTCTTGTTAAACATAATTTTGGCATTTGTTTCTTCTCGGCATTCCGGCCCAACCCCAAGATCGCCCACGAGGCCTCCAAGATGGCCCACGGCCCAAGAGGCCCCCAAGACGGCCCCAAGAGGCCACCAAGACGGCCAAGATGGCCTCCAAGACGGCTAAGGTGGCCCCAAGATGCTTCCAAGATGGCCTCCAGATGGCCTAAGACGGCCCAAGAGGCCCCCAACAGGCCTCAAAGACGGCCCAAGAGGTCCTCCAGGAGGGCCCGAAGAGGCTAAAATCATTGATTTCACCATGGTTTTTGACAGATTTTTGACATTTGCTTCTTTTCGGCATTCCGACGGCTCAAGACGGCCCCCAAGATCGCCCACGCGGCCTCCAAGATGGCCCCATGACGGCCCGAGAGGGCCCCTAAGACGGCCCCAAGAGGGCCTCCAAGAGGTCCTCCAGGAAGACCCGAAGAGGCCCAAATCAATGATTTTCCTTAGGTAGGTTTTTGACCGATTTTGACATTTGTTTCTTCTCGGCGTTCCGACGTCTCAAGACGGCCCAAGAGGCCCCCAAGATCGCCCAGGCGGTCTCCAAGATGGCCCCATGACGGCCCGAGAGGCCCCCTAAGACGGCCCCAGGAGGGCCCCAAGAGGCCTCCAAGACGGCCACGATCGTCTCCAAGACGGCTGAGATGGCCCCACAATGCCTCCAAGACGGCCTAAGATGCATCGAAGACTGCCTAAGACGGCTCAAGAGGCCAAGAGGCGCCCAAGACGTCCCAAGAGGCCTCCAACAGGTCGTCCGGGCGGGCCCGAAGAGACCAACATCAGTGCTTTTCCTTCGGGTTTAGAAGGATTTTGGCATTTGCTTCTTTTCGGCATTCTGACGGCTCAAGACGGCACAAGATGCCCCCAAGACCGCCCAAGAGGCCTCCAAGATGGCCCCATGACGGCCCAAAAAGCCCCCAAGACGGCCCCAAGAGGGCCCCAAAACGGCCCAAGAGGCCTCCAAGACGCCCAAGATGGCCTCCAAGAATCCCTGATATGCTCCAAGAGGGCCCCAAGACGACCCAGGCAGGCCCCCATGACGGCTTCTGACGGCGTCAGACAAGCCAGGAACGCCCTAAGACGGCCAAAGAGACCCCCAAGAAGCCTCCAAAGACCCCCAGCATGCCCAAGGAGGCCCCAAAGCGGCCTCCAAGATGCGTCCAAGATGATCAAGACGGCCCCAAGAAGCCCCAATATAGCACCAAAATGGCTTCCAAGACATTCCCAAGATGCCTCCAAGGCTGCAAATATGGCCCAATCAAACCCTAGAGTAGCCCAAGAGGCTCCCAAGAGGCCTCCTCCTCACTTCTCCTTCGTCCTCCCTTTCCTCTCCTTTCTCCCCCCCACCCTGTTCCCTGAACGCTTTCCAAACCGATTCGGGGAACACATGGTCCGATAGCTTGGCAGGCCTCTGGCCACAACGTTCGGCCACATAGGCGTTTCCAAAAAGGCAGGGGGCGGCGGTGATTCGCCGTAGGCGTCTTCGATCCGCCGCCCCCTGCTGGCTTGCCACAGGGGTGGCTGGCGTGCTGGATCCTAGACGGCCACCCGAAAGGGACCATAAACGAGCACAACGTCCACAACAAATCTCCAAGACGGCTCAAGATAGATGGTCACGTTGGCCCAAGATGGCCTCTAAGACGGCTAAGATAGCCCCAAGATGCCTCCGAAACGGCCCAATATGCACCCAAGACGGCCTAATATAGCCTCAGGTTGGTCCAAGAGGGCCCAAGGGGCCCCAAGAGGCCTCCAAGAGGACCTCCAGGAAGGCCCGAATATGTCCAAATCATTGACTTCCCCAAGGTCTTTCAAGGATTTTGGCGTTTGCTTCTTCTCGGCCTTCCCACGGCCCGAGATGGCCCAAGAGCCCCCAAAGATCGTCCCAAAGGCCTCCAAGAGGACCCCAGAACGGCCCAAGAGGCCCCCCAGACCGCTCCAGGAGGGCCCCAAGATGGCCCAAGAGGCCTCCAAGACTTTCAAGATGGCCTCCAAGATGGCCCTGGAGCACCCCAAGAGGGCCCCCAGTCGGCCCAGAGAGGCCCTCAAGACGGCTTCCGACGGCGCCAGACGGGCCATGAGTCCACCAAGACGGCCCAAGATGGCTCTAAGATAGCTCAACGATAGCCCAAGAGGCCCCCAAGAGGCCTCCAAGACAGAGGCCAAAGGAGGCCCCCAAGATGCCTCCGAGAGGCTCCCAGGAAGCTCCCAGGAGGCCCCTAGAGTGTCCCCAGAGGCTCCCAAGATTTCCTCCTTCTCCTCCTCCCGATTTTCCCCGCCATCCTCCCCCAAATGTTCCCCGAAGGGTTTCCACACCGGTTTGGGGAGCACATGGTCCGATAGCTTGGCAGAGCTCTTGCCACAACGCTCGGCCACATGGGCGATTTCAAAAGGCAGGGGGCGGCGGTGATTCGCCGTAGGCGTCTTCGATCCGCCGCCCCCTGTTGATTTATCACAGGGGTGTCTGGCGTGCTGGACTTCTTACACTTTTTGATTTTGGTTCTTCTCCAATCGAACTCCCCCTGGGGCTTCGGCCCGTCCCGCCGGCCACCCGAAAGGACCCAGGAAAGCTCTGGGCGGGGTGGTTCCCAAGGTTGTTCCTGCTCCAGGTGACTCCAAGATGGCCTCCAAGACGGCCAAGATGGCTTACAAGACGGCCAAGATGGCCTCCAAGTTCGCCCACGATGGTCAAAGATGGTCCCCAAGACGGCCCGAGAGGGTCCAAGATGACTCGAAGTCCGCCCAAGAAGCCTCTAAGACGGCCCAAGACGCCCCCAAGAGGCCTCCAAGAGATCCTACAGGAGGGCCCGAAGAGGCCAAAATCATTGAATTTCCATAGGTTTTAGAATGACTTTGGCATTTGCGTCTTTTCAGCCTTCCGACGGCTCAAGACGGCGCAAGAGGCCTTCACGATGGCCTCAAGACCGCCCAAGAAGCCTCCAATATGGCTTCCAGACGGCCCAAGAAGCCCCCAACTGCCCCAAGACAGCCCGAGGGGCCTCCAAGACGCCCAAGATGGCCTCAAAGACAAGCCTTGAGCACCCCAAGAAGGCCCCAAGTCGGCCCAGCGAGGCCCCCAAGACGGCCCAAGATGGCCTCCAGGAAGGCCTGAAGAGGCCAAAATGGTTGTTTCCTTTAGTATTTGAAGGGCTTTGGCATTTGCTTCTTTTCGGCCTTCCGACGGCTCAAGACGGCGCAAGAGCTCCCAAAGATCGCCCAAACGGCCTCCAAGATGGCCCCAGAACGGCCAAACAAGTCCGCAAGACAGCTCCAAGATGGCCCCAAGAGGCCTCCAAGACGCCCTGGATGGCCTCCAAGATGGCCCTGGAGCGCCTCAATAGGGCCCCAAATCGGCCCAGAAAGGCCCTCAAGACAGCGTCCGACGGCGCCAGACGGGCCATGAGTCCACCAAGACTGCCCAAGATGGCTCCAAGATGGCCCAAGAGGGCCCCCAAGAGGTCCAAGACGGCCGAAGATGCCCCCAAGCGGGCTTCCAGGAGGGCCCGAAGAGGCCAACATCATGGATTGTCCGTGGTTTTTTGTTGGATTTTGGCATGCGCTTCTTTTCGGCCTTCCGATGGCCCGAGACGGTCCAAGAGCCCACAAACATCGCCCAAGAGACCCAACTATGGCCCCAGAACGGCCCAAGAAGCCCCCAAGACGGCCCCAAGAGGGCCCCAAGACGGCCCAAGGGGCCTGCAAGACTGCCCTGGAGCACGCCAATTGGGCCCCAAATCGGCCCAGTGAGGCTCCCCAAACGGCTCCCGACGGCGTCAGACGGGCCAGGAACCCACCAAGACGGCCCAAGA